GGAAAGCAAGCTTCAAAAAGGAGCAAATGCTTCAGGATTGGAAGAAAACAAAAATACAGTGTGAAACACGTAGCCAATCAAAAAAGCAGCTTGGATTTTTATTAAGTTTATTAAAAACTATGAAATGTGACTTGAAACAATTTACTAAATATCTGAGCAAACATATTATCATAAGACCTCTTCTTAGCTTTTGATTGGAGTGGAAGGGAGGAGTCTCTTTAATAAATGGCTATGGATTTAAATAGGCTTAATCTAAAAATTAAGTTCTTTAAAAATACTTTTATTGGGGGCTTTTAAATCTCTTATCACAACCCATACATTCATCCAGTGTGTCAAGCACATTTGCACATATGCCACCATCATTTTCAAAGCATTCTCTTCCCACTTGAGCCCGATATCTGCTCCCCATTTCTTCCCCCTCGCTTGCCCTCCCTCATGAACCCTTCATAAATTAGATTATAATTTCCATATCTTACATTGTCCTCCGTCACCCCTCACCCACTTTTCTGTTATTGGTCCCCCTGGGAGGGGATTCTATTTTGATCCTTGTGAACCATTCCCCCTTTCTCCCCCACCCTCCCCTAATCCTACTGGCATCTCTACTCTCCTTGTTGGCCCTGAGGAGTTTGTCTATCCTGGATTCCCTCTGTTGTGGGCTCTTACCTGTAGCAGTGTGCATGCTCTGGTCTAATCCGATTTGTAAGGTAGAACTGAGGTCATGACAGTGCGGGGAAGGAAGCACCAAAGAACTAGAGGAAAGTTGTGCGTTCCATAGGTGATATACTGCACCCTGGCTCATCTTTTCCCTGTGATTCGTCTGAGGGGATGTCCAATTGTCTACAGATGGGCATTGGGTCTCCACTCCATGCCCCCATTCCCTCATTCACCGTGGGCATGGTTTTATGGGTGTTTGATGCCAGATAGGGTTTTATGGGTCTTAGATGCCAGATACGTGATCCCATTGACAGCTCATGATCACACAGGCTGCTGTACTTCTTCCATATGGGCTTTGTTGCTCATGAGCAACAAGTCTTTATGACTCCAGACACTCTATCTGTTGATAACCAGGCGCCATCAGCTTTCTTCACATTTGCTTATGCACCCAAGGGGAGGTGGGAGAAAGGAAGGTGGGGGTAACCAACCCAGGGATAAGGGAAGAAGTGACCTAAAATCAATGGAAGGAAAGGTCATAGGATGCCTAGTGGGGCTTAATCAAGGGCAAAGTAGCAGCGAGGAATTACTACACCCGAATGAAGGATGAACATGATGGGGGGACAAGAGGAAAGTAAAAGGAAATAGAGGAAAGAATTAGGAGGCAAAGGGCATTTATAGAGATCTAGACACAGGCATGTACATATGTAAATACACTTATATATGACGATAGGGAAATAGATCTATGCACATATATTTATAGGTATCGTATTAAGGAGGCAGACAGACATTGGGCCTCTACTCCAGTACTCCCTCAACATAAGAACACTTTGTACTAATAACCCGGCATTCTGAGATGCCCACCTTCCTCTACACAATCGCTGAAGATAAAATGGGTGCATAAGCAAATGTGGTGAAGAAAGGTGATGGTGCCCTGCTATCAAAAGATATAGCGTCTGGGGTCTTAAGGACTTAAAGATAAACAAGCAGCTGAGAAGCAACAAAGCCCACATGGGAGACGCACACCAGCCTGTGTGATCATGAAGTGTCAACGGGATCAGTTATCAGGCATCAAAGACCCAGAACAAAAAATCATGTCAATGTAAATGGGGGGTAGGAGGGTGAGGGTGGGAGTGGAGACCCAAAGCCCATCTGTAGGCAATTGGACATCCCCTTACAGAAGGGTCGTGGGGGAGGAGAGGGGCCAGTCAGGGTGCAGTACAGCACCGATGAAACATACAGCTTTCCTCTAGTTCTTTAGTGCTTCTTCCCCCTCCACTATCATGACCGTAATTCTACCTTACAAATCTGGCTAGGCCAGAGTATGTACATGGGTACACATAAGACCTGGAAACACAGGGAATCCAAGACAGATAAAACCCCTCAGGACCAATAATGAGAGTAGCCATACCGGAGGGTAAGGGTAAAATGGGGGGAGAGAGGGGGAACCAATCACAATGACTTACCTATAACCCTTTCCCAGAGGGATGGACAACAGATAAGTGGGTAAAGGGAGACAGTGGTCAGTGCAAGACATGAAAAAAAAAATTAAATTTATAAATTATCAAGGGTTCATGAGGGAAGGGAAAAAATGAGGAGCTGATACCAAGAACTCAAGTAGAAAATATTTTGAAAATGACGATGGCAACAAATGTACATATGTGCTTAATACAATGGACAGATCTATTGATTGTGATGAGTTTGTATAAATCCCCAATAAAATGATTATTAAAAAAAAGAAAAAAGGAGTTATCATATATACTTGTGTATAAGCCGAGTTTTTCAGCATATTTTTAATGCAGTTTTTGTGGTAAAATTAGGTGCCTCGGATGATATTCGGGTAGGCTTACACTTGAGTATACACAGCAAAATAAAACGGAATTTTTTCCATGAACCTTTTTGAGTACCCTTCATATATTATTTCTCATAATAGAAAGTATACTTTGAGATATTAAAAATAACATTAAGCATAAAATGAAGAAATATAGAGGCAAGTCTCAGAATCCAGTGTAAGGGAATTTTCTCTAGAAAGTTTGTGTGCGTGTGTGTGGCAGGGGTGTGGGGAGGTGGGAAGAGCAGTCTTTTCTTAATGAGGAAGAATTCCTTTGATAATATTTCATTTCTATGTTCCATGTACTGGATAATATTTGTACTTTTTAAAAGAACATAAAAGAAAAAATAACTGCAAAAACAAAGAAATACTAGATATGTATGTTAGAAGGAATACACTACACAGCATTTTTAATGGCAAAAATATAATACGTTACCTAAGTACTCAGTGTTGCTTTGAAAATTGTGGTCTAGCTATAATTATAATAAAATCTTCAAAATATCAGAAGCTAGTGATATGAGCAACTGTTCATGATATATGAAGGGGCTTCAAAAAGTTCATCAAGGAATTAATCCCACTATCTTTTCATTCCTTTTGTATGAACTAAAGTACTGTTGAATATAATCAAGAGTTCTGTGGGAAAAAATATATAGATACATATATATAAATAGAGCGGAAACACTTATCGATAATATAACTTTCAAATTCCTTTTACTTTTATACATTTCCTACATATTTCACTGCTCTTGAAGCAGCAATAACAGAAGTCATCACACACAAACTCTTTTTATGAGATTGAATTGCGGGCAGGCTTCCCTTTTTACTGGTGTCGTCATTCATTTATAATGTCCACTTTTGACAAAAGCAATGCTGGGTGTTCAACAGTTTGTTTTGCTACGTTTGGTGGGCACTCTGACAATCCCATTCTACATTTCCCCCACTCCCTGCCCATTAGGCTGGGGTCATGTGGCTGTGTGCTACTCAGTGGAAGACAAGGGCCATGTACACTGTGTGCCTGTCAGGACGGCAATGCCCTGCAGGCTCCATCATCCCTCTCCTTCTAAGGCATGTCTGGAGGCTCCACTCCCATTGCCATGAGATCTGTCTGACTCCCGTTTCCCTACTGTGTCTGGTGCACCCACTTCTACTCCCCGAAGCCTCCGAGACATCACAATCAATGGGAAAAGAGAAACTAAAATGCTCACTTCAGAATACAAACCTTCAATAGCAATTCGTGACCTGGCAAATGAAGTCAATAAGATGGCACACAAGGTCCTTTGTGCCCTTCGTATTGTAAACACCTCACTGCCCCTCCTAAATGCTTCTAGCAAATTTATTATTCCTCTATCACAATGTAGTATAACTAGTTGGTTAACTTCATGAGAAAGAGTCCCCATATGTTCTTCAATATGTAATGCTATGTGTCAGGCGCATAAAATGTGCTGCGCACTTGCTGACTGAATAACGTGCTACTAACTATCCTAAACGAACCCTGGTGGAATGGTGGTGACAAGTTAGTATTCAAACCACACAGTCAGCAGTTTGAAACCACTAGCTGCTCTGTGGGAGGCATTCAACTCCCAGAGAGTTTGTCTCGGAAACCCACAAGGGCAGTTCTATTCATCCTTACAGGGTTGCGATGAGCGCTAATCAACTCAATGGCAGTGAGGATTGGAAAAACACAATACCCAAACCCACTGTCATAAAGTTCATTCCGACTCAGAGGACAGCTGCCCTATGGTGTCTTTGAAGGTATAATTCCTTATGGAAGCAGACGGCCTCATCGCTCTCCCATAGAGTGGTTAATGATTTGAACCACAGACCTTTCAAGTCAGTGGCTTATCCTTTAACCCACTGTGCCACCATGGCTCCGTTCGTATTCCTAAGCTCCTACGAAATCATGAAATTTTAAGAGCCTGGTGCAGTTCTCAATTTATTTGACCATCGTGTCTCTAAAAGCAATTCTACAGCCCTGAGGGTGGCTGACTAATCTGGCCTACCTTTTTTAGGGTCAATTCGACAGTGTTAGGTTAGCCTAACACTCTTACTATATTACCAAAATGAAGCCGAGAACCTGGAATTCAATACAATATCCCTTTGGAATTCATAAAGTCAGATGTTAATTTTTTTGTCTTAGAAATTTAGAGTTACCACACGCAGCTATTTTAAAAATGTGAATTACTTCAGATAGGAGGCAAATAGACACAGTAAGAATCATGACCACATTTTATGCTGCTGGGAAAAGTCAGGCTGTATAGCTCTTCTGTTATTAAGCAAAAAGGTGTTATTTTTCAATGTATTAATGTATTCAATGTATTTCAAGGTTGAGGCTTAGAATCCATGAAGAAACTGGCTTAGTTACTAAAAATGCCTTTTATTTAAGTGAAAATCTGAGCTTATACACTCTATAATGGAGAACTGGTCTCAGAACAGTCATCTCTTCCGGTACGTGGACGATCTCAGAGAAGACCCAAAGCAGTCTTTAGTTTTATCATATGGGAAAAACAACACACAGCCCTTCAGTGAAACAACGTTGTGATATTTATATTCCATTGCACAGTTAAGGGTTACACAAATTAGTAACACAAGCTGTCTTAAATTCCAAAAATTTTCTAAAATATTAGAGGTGCCTAGAATAGTAAAATATCAAGTTGGAAACATAATCTAAATTGTTAATATGACGTTGAAAATACTGAGTAGAGGAAAATTAAAATGTGTGTTCCAATGCTCTAACAACTAGGCAGCGGGGCACTATGCATATATAAATGATTAGACTTTAGAGATTACCTTCTCTCTAAGATACACAACTAAAAAGAAAATCTGGGTAAATGATTTAAAGGAAGTTTAATGCTTTTTAATACCTAAGATCTAGGGTGAAATGTACTATGTTCTACGGCTAATAATTCAAATATAAAAGACACCACACTTAGAAGGGGAAAAAAACTTTTAAAAGGTAATGGTTTTAATTGAATGAATGAGATGAAAGATAGTAAGCCCTGTTCTCTACTTACATGAAAGAAGATTTTAAGAAATCACTGCACAAAAAACAAAGGACAGGGTTATGCGGTTGTATTCAATGTTGCTCCACACTGCTGTTCTTGACGCCTTAAGAACAAATCAAAGTTTCCACAGCATATCTGCTTTCAAAATGCCGGATCGTAACACAGTTGCTGACTTCGCGCTTCTGAAGACCTAATTGGAGAGGGAAACATTTTTAATCCTAGTTCTTAAGATATAATATACTCTGCACTCCGGTGAACGTCTATAGTTTAATTATTTTTACATGAAAAAAATTTCAACGGTTTTCAGAACTAAGTATCTCACTCCAGACTCCAGACAGTCCCTACCTTGAGACCAACTCCTATTTGCCCTTTAATATTAGGTAGCACCTGCTGGTAACGGAGTCAGCCTCACCATCACTTGCTGCTGAAAAGGCTTCAAAGCACCAGCCTGACACACAGGCCCGCACAAATCATAAATACCAGCTAACATCACATGCTTCCCCAAAGCAGTCCCAGCCATCACGTTAGGGGTGAGTTACTTACACGTTTGACCACTATGGCCCTCAAAGGATGTTATAAATACCCAAATGGCCTTTAGCAGAAAAAAGGTTCCGCACGTCTGCACCGAAATAAGGCTAAATATCTGTACATATCTGGTCTAACTTACCTACAAATCCTAAAAGGTACTTTAAAAAATGGAATTTGATTGTAACCTGGGGATTGCCTGTACTTAGAATTTTATGAACTTATATTAGAAATGTTCTATATATAAAAAAAAAGAAATGTTCTATATCTTGACTATGGATCGATAAAAGATTGTATATGCATTTGTCCAAACTCAGGAGTACATACTAAACAGGCAAGTCTTTTATCGTATGTGTAAGAATGCAGGGAGTAGGTTTCTGGTCACTTAACAAAAAGTCAGGAAAGTAGGTTTGCCGAGTGCTCCAATTTCAAAAAAAGCCATAGTACCATGCATATGAATGGCACATCTTACTTTCTGATATGCTTTTATAAGCATTTTAATTTATTTTTATAAAGCTCTTGAAGGAAGAGGGGAGATGTTGTCATCCTATTTTGGGGGGAGGGGGGGGCTGATGCAAAGGCCAAAGGAAGGGAGTCGACACAAGCTGTCAACGCACTGAATAACTCACACAAATTCTTTCCCAACATGATCCAGGGTAAATGCTTTGCTTAGAATGCAGATGCACGCACCCACGCACGCACGCACACCCCTTCAGATCTGCTCTCTAAGTACCCACTGGGTACTAGGGCTGGGAAGTTGCACTCAATGGCCAGCAGCACTTCAAGCCGGCTATTTCACACCTAGCTTTTTCTGTCTTATAAGAGTGGATGAGAACTAAGACGATGCCTCAGAAATTGCAAAATATTACTGTTGCCCATTAATTTCAATTCCTCATTCCTGGCAAGTATGTTCACAACGAATCTAGCTTAATACAACGTAGCAAAACGGTGACGTTTTCTATCAACACTTTAGCATGCCAAGTATTACCTCTAATAGTGTCTCTCCGTTGCAGCCTGTAAGTGTCCTTGCCGTGGCACAGCCGGTAAATGAAGAAGCCCAGGCTATCAACATCGTCAATGCGATCCGTGATGACCATGTGCTCGTGAATCAGATAGGACTGTGGCAAATAGGTCCCAGCCTAAATTTCAGAAGGAATATATTACACAAATATCTTAAAATGTACACTGAACAGCCTAGAAAATAAACAGAATTCTTAGAAAGTATAGTTTAGGACCAGAATTGGCAAACTATTGCCTGCCATCTGTTCTTCTAGTTGTACTGGAACACGGCCAAGGCTCATTCCTTTACATAATATGATGGCCGAGTTGACAACCATGAGGTTGGAAGCCTAATATTCATTCTCCTGCCCTTTAAAGGAATTAGCACACTTCGTAAGAACCATATATATATATATATTGCTGGTCCTTGCTTGTCAACCAGCAGGTGTGCATATTTTCTTAAAATTTCTAATTTACATGCTAAGAAAAAAAATTCTCTAAGGCAAAGCTTCAAAGCAGAATGACTTTTAAATTTCCAAAGTTTTAGTTTCTCTTTGTAAAATTCTTAACTGCATTTCTCGTAAGGTGGACCTTTAGCAGGCTTTCTTTAAAGGGAATTCTAAAACACCAAAAGGGCCTCAAGGAGCCCGGGTAGTGCTGCGTAAGCACTGGGCTGTGAACTACCTGGTCGGCAGTTCAAACCCACCAACTGTTCCAGGGGCAAAGGATGAGGATTTTCCACCCCCACAAAGACTCTAGTCTCGGAACCTCCAAGGAAAAGTTCTACTCTCTTTTAGGGTCCTTGTGGGTTGGAATCAATTTGATGGCAATGGAGTTGGTGTTTCAGTACGGTACAGCAGTGTCAATTAAAAAACAGGCAAACATTTTTATACCTTGATGTTAATGAGTAACTCCAATAAATTCCTGGGTGGCATAACAATGGAGGTGTTCAGAGGGATAACATAGCACTTATCCAGGTTAAGATCTAAATAGGCCGTGAGTTTCTGGGAAGAAAAACATGTATTTAGTTACATTAATATTTATAATATAGGCAGCAAGTGAATTAAGAATAACATGCGCAACTAAAATGGGTAGTCTTTGGAATGTTTAAATCACTCTAGCGGTTCAACAAATCAAGACTTTGGTGGGCTATGGATAGAAGTAATTAGGGAGAGGAAAATGTATCTGTACTAGTAATTAATCATATTGTTTCTGTAATGAGGGATAATATTTATTAAAATCAATTGCAAATAGCCTTAATATCTGCTTAATAGATTTTGAGTTATCTCACCTGTAAGTCCGAATGCCCTTTAAGGCATGTATCCATTTTATGTAATGACTAATTTCTCTATTATGTATCTAAAATAGAATTAGCTACTAGCCAGCATCATCAGAAAACAGGAAAACAGTCACTAACGTGATTTTCCACATTCTGTGGTTCAGATGAGAAAGCCTATCTACAGGATCTGTCCCGAGGAGCTCAGCATGTGTTAGCCTAATGATTCACGACTGTTCTGGATAAAGTATATTATTTTGAAGTCACCGCAGTGACAATATTACGCTATCATCTCAACAAAATAGAGAAAATGAGCATACTATCATGTATCCCTTGGCAGAATATTTCAAAATCAGTTATTTCAATGATTTTAATAAGATATACTTATCGACTGTTTCCCCAAATTTTGAAATGTTAAAATACGGGAAGTGCTCAGTAAAAAAAGAACGATAGACATTCTCAGATGCACAAAATATCCATAAAGCTAATTGCAGTGGTATGCGCGAATACTCAGAGTGACAAGTTGAAGGGGCATACAAAAACGTCACAGGCAATACATAAACTTCTGAATGATCTTTAGGAAACGAAATCCTTGGGGGAATACCAGTATGAACCAGGTGCTAAAAGGAGATGAAGGAAATATGGCAAAATTTTGGAACCCAGTTCTCTCCCCGACTTTTCTGCATGTATAAAAGCGGTCAAAAACTGGAGAGAAATGATGGAGACCCAATGCCCATCTCTAGACAACTGGACATACCTTGCAGAGGGGTAGTGGGGAGACGAGTCACTTAGGGTTCAGTATAGCAATAATGAAGCCCACAACCTTCCTCTGGTTCTTGAACGCTTCCTCCCCCCAACTACCAGGACCCCAATTTTGCCTTGCAGACCTGGTTGGACTAGATGATGCACAGCGGTACAGACGGGAATTGGGAACGCAGGGAATCTAGGACAGAGGAACCTCTCAGGACCAGGGGTGACAGTGGCGATACCAGAAGGGAAAGGGGATGTAGTAGGGGGGAATGGATCACAGGGAGCTACGTGTGGCCTCCTCTCTGGGGGACGGGCAGCGGAGGGGTGGGTGAAAGGAGACGCCGGACAGTGTAATATAAGATACAATAATAATTTATAAATTATTAGGGGTGCATGGGGGAGAGGGGAGGAGGAAGGGAAGGGGAGGGGGAAAAAAAGGAAAATTAGAGGCTTGCGAATTTTGGGAATGATGAGGGCAACAAAAGTATAGAAGGGCTTTACACAATTGATCTATGTATTGTGATGAATTGTATGAGCCCCAATAAATTGATTAAAAAAATAAAAAAAAACTGGAGAGAAATGTAAAAGAGCAGCCAGAAGTTCAACAGCACAATGACATGGCAATGGAAACACGAATCAACATACACCTACAAAACCATACAGGAAGCAGGAGTAATTTGAAAGCAAAGGAAGAACAACTGGGAGGTAAGTTCAAGAGCAGACAAGGTAAGGGTAGGGAAAGGTTAACAAGAATGGGAGGGGTGCAGATTCACTGAGTCTGCTTCAGCTATTCAAAACAGAGCCAAGAAACAGTTTCTGGTTGATCTTGTAGGGTAGGAAGGATTCCAAGTCTGTTTAAAGAGTGTGTTACTAACCTAGCAAATGAGAGAGAGAGATAGAATGACAGAAAGCTTAAGGGAAGAACCTGCATTTTTCTTGCAGCCTGGACACCTGGCTCACCTTGCTAAAGTCATGAACGATGTTGGCTGGATCGCTATCGGCAAACTCTGGGACAGGCACACTGATGAATTCGACCTCCTCTTCTTCGAAGATCTTAATGTTTTCCTCGATTGTTTGGTAGCGAGCAGCGGGGGCTTCGGCAGAGGCCTCGCTCAGGACGACGTCGTCTTTGATGTATTTGATCCCACAGTAGTACACATCATCTGGCTAGAGAGCGCAGACACCATTTCAGTGACTCAGTGGGAGGCAGAGTTGTTCGAATCCGCGCAAGTATTACGTAAGCGGCCACCTTTATCTAACTAGCATTTTGCTCGCAAGTTCTTACTGTTAGATGACAAGCCAGACAGCTTAATGAGAGAGCTAAGACATTCTTTACGACAAGATTGTGAAGCATTGCAAAAGACAGTTTGGGATGCATGAAAAAGCAACTGGCGGCCTTTCTACTTTCTGTGGTTGACAAATACAGACTCTACAAGCAATTCTCCATGAGATGGCAAGCATAGGGCTCCTTCTGCCTGTAGGCATTGCTCTAATAAAATAATATATTCAGAAACCAACAATTCTGTGGGGGAAAAAAACAAACCCAAAAATTTATAAACTTTTTATGATTCATTGCTGATAGAAAAATGTTTCTACATTAGCCCAAAGGGACAATTTCTCCCTGAAATTTCCAAATGTATACAAGTAGTTACGCTTTCGCTTTAAAAGGTCTTTTAAATTTTAGGGGACGTCAGACACAGGACAAATGATCCCACTTATATGAAATATCTAAAACAGGTAAGTACATCAAGAACGTTTACTTGTGATTACAAGGGGAGGCAGGCAGGCAGGAAGAGCCCTCCCTTTCTGTTTCCGGGCAATGGGAAGAGTTGCAAATGAACAGTGGTGAGAGCTGCACACACGGCAAACCTAACTGAGGCCCGGAGTAGGCCATGTACAAAAATACTCTCATTTTTATGTTTACCACCCTCCCCCGCCACATGCAACCACAATGAAGTGGAAAACACCAAGCTACACAGCTTTAAAAGACGGTTTCCTTTTTGCTTTCTTTAAAAAAAAAACATTCATAATAAATTGGAGCAGATAGCATTAAGATAACAAATGCCATCTCTATAAGTTCTAGATAATCCTCCCCCCCCATTATGTTTCTTGGAAATTACTGCATAAAAAAGGATTAGATTTTAATGAATTAATCTGAGTCTATTACCTATGGCTGGTGAAAATGATTTTATGTATTTTAAATAAATATTACTTTAAATTCTGGGATAATAAAGTACTTATCTGGACAAAGATAATGTGAGGTCAAAATGCTAATAAGCTTATGCTATTCAAACAGTAAAAAAAGACACTAGGGGGTACTTAGAATTGTAACTTTAATTGTGGTTTTAGGACTTTTAGATAAAATTAGACAAAAGTTGCTATAGAGTAATTGTATTTCATCAATGTCTAATCTGCCACCATCTCAAAAGATATAGAAAAATGAGAACGAAAAATTTAAATACACACACACACACACACACACACCCTGGTAGAACATTTTAAAATTCTTTAAAATATTTTAATAAAATCTAGTTGCCAAAGAAAAACAAAGCCAATAACAAATTCTATGTCTTAATGAAGCCAATGAGTGAAAAGATTCAGAGAAACGAGTTGTCAGTGTACTCCGGCTATTGTAGAGGAGCCCAGACTGAATATCAAATTAGTCTGTCAACATCTTATGGCTTGTGACTGATACACAAGAGGACTTTGGAAATCCCATTTTCCAAAAATTTTATTCATATTTATTAATTGGCAATAAATAAAACTGTACATGCTAGTGGTTAGGCATTGAACTGTGATCTGCGTGGTGGGTAGAATGGGGAGGGACTCTCTACTCCTATCAACAGTTGCGGTCTCAGAACCCCCTAGAGCAGTGGTTCCCAACCTTCCTCGTGCCGCGGCCCTTCCATACAGTTCCTCATGTGGGGGTGACCCCAACCATAAAATTATTTTCGTTGCTACTTCAGAACTGTGATTTTGCTAGTTATGAATCATAATGTAACTATCTGATAGGCAGGATGTATTTTCATTGTTACAAACGGAACATAACGAAAGCATAGTGATTAATCACAAAAATAATATGTAATTATATATTGTGAAATATTTACTTCTAATGACAAATAAATGAAATTTTGTCTGGACGCATGGTGTAGCATGGGTCACAGTCTTCACACCGGGTACTCTCGGGTGTATGTGCATGTGGGTGGACCCACTTGGAGATGGATAAGGGAGCGTTGTCTCGGTCCCTAAGACCACCAGAAATAGGTGTTTTCCAATGGTCTTAGGCAACCTCTTTGAAAGGGTCATTCGACTGACTCCCACAGGTTGAGAACCACTGGCCTAGGGGGTTGCTATAAGTCACCATTGACTCTGTGGCAGCGAATTTGAGTTTTTGAGTTTTCTTAGGCATTAACTATGGTAGAAAACTGAAGGTTAATAAATTCTTTAATGGTTCTAAAAACATAATTCATATATTTTTAGAAAAGTATCAAATTCAGAGAACTTGACAAAAAAAATCATGGAGCCTGAAACCCATCTCCACCATCTTCATGTTCCTAATCTGAAGCCAGAGTGTGCAGGACTCACCCGTCTTTGCATAAAACCACATACATAACTAGTAGTGAAGGAAATCTTTCAAGATCATGTCTGGCTCATGAAAGTTAGTCATTTTTCAAAACATCACCCACCCCCAAATTACACCCTTTTAGTCAACAACATTGGAAACATGTTCTTCTGCCTTGGTGACTATCTGACATGTTCACATTTTCATTGCATTTTCAAGGGGGGACCCACCAGTGCGAAAGGCCACAGACAAAAAGTACACGATCAGGGAAGCTTGGAGCCAACTTTCTAATACACACAAGATGGAACCTACATTGGGCCTTAGAACTTTTCCACTTACTTGGAGAGCAAAGTATTTGTACAGATAGGCGCCGCCCAGGATGACACCTGCAAGCATAAATGCCAGTCCAAAGCACATACACCAGCACCAAGCTCTTCTCTGGCCAACTGGCACCACTTCATCTGTGTCCTAGAGCATGAAAAGGGTAGTGATTAATGTCATTCCTCATCAGAGTAACAAGAGGCGTTAAGGGTGAAAGAAATCCCAACGGCTATAATTTTATGAATGAAGGTATAAAGACCAAGGGATGTCAAGTCTCAAATCAAAATTGGCACAGAGAAGGTTAATGGTGGCACCAGTACTGATAATGCCTCTGTCGTCGTTAACCCTCTACCCCCTAACTGCTAACCACATCTTGAATATGGAGCCAATTTTCTACGCACAATTTCCTCCAGTCCTACAAAGTATCCTCCAGCACTGAAAAATTCAGAAAAGGTTACAACACAACTCTGCCGTGCAATGTTCCAGTATTGGGCCCTGTGATGGCACTGCATTAGCGATCTCTGTGGTACATCATCTATAAAATGAAGTAAAACTACGTACGAGGTTGCGGTAAGGTTATTATTTTATACCAGATGTAAGTCATGATAACAACCCATTAGAAAAACATGAGGAGCATACATAATATTGAATTCAAATTCTTTAAATAATCTAGAATCTCAAAACCGAGTAAAACGTATTATCTAGAAATCATCACCATCCCCCAGGAAAGAGTCCTATTGGATAAATCTCAACTTATTTTTAAGACAAAGGCAGTAGTAGAGTATGAGGGAGATTCCTTATGAAGTAAACTTACTAAGTAAAAACAAAGAACACATGAGAATTCTGTGCATTCCTGGAAATAATTCTGGTTACAGCATCATTTGGGGACAGTCTCTAGATGCTGCCCTTTGCCTTTCTATTGCCTCCGTCCCTTCAGTTATAGGTGACTTCTAACCTGCACTCAGGTTCATGCACAAAGAGCCGACACTAAACGGGGGATACTGGTTGCTAATGCTATCTATGTAAGTACTATTGCTCACAAAATCGTACATATGGCACAGAAAGGGCTTCAATAATTGGCTTAAAACGTTATAATAAGAGGAGTTCTGGTTCATAGGAAACGACAGTATGAAATGGCGTAAAGTAAGAAGTACACTGGAGGTAAGCCTTTGGAGATGAAGAGAGGGCAGAAGAAGAGCCAAGTGATCAAATGTACCGCAGGCCGTGTGTATTAGATCAGGAAAATGAACGTGAATAAATCAAGATACTCCCGGAAGAATGAATGCTAAAATTGAATATAGGTGGGTAAGTGGAAATGTACTGCTACATACACAGTGCTATTCCAAAACATGTTTTAACAGGTCTGTGATCACTGAATGCATGCAGACAAGTTCTCTCAGTAATATAAGGATGCCTTCAGAAAAAAACCAAAAACAACGTCCAATGAAACTCAACGTAGAAAAGTTAGCTCAGAAGGTTATGACAACTGTTTTTTGGGACTCCAAAGTAACCTTGACAGATTTTCTCAAAGAACACAGGATGATTAATAGGACTTATATAGAAAAACAAAAAATTTAATGAAAAACAGGTCAGGAAAGTTTCACTGAGAAATTTCCCCATCAAAATAGGCCTGCTCACTCTTTGGCTTTGGGTTTCCACTCTGCACTCCCCCTCATTCACAATATGATTTTTCGTTCTTTGATGCCTGATACTTGATCCTATCATTGACACCTCGTGATCGCACAGGCTGGTATGCTTCTTCCACATGGGCTTTGTTGCTTCTCAGCTAGATGGTTGCTTGTTTATCTTCAAGCCTTTAAGACCCCAGGTGCTGTAACTTTTGATAGCCAGGCACCATCAGCTTTCTTCATCACATTTGCTCATGCACCCAATTTGTCTTCAGTGATTGTGTCGGAAGGTGAGCATCATGGAAGGCCAGGTTAATAGAACAAAGTGTTCTTGCATTCAGGGAGGACTTGAATGGAGGCCCAATGTCCATCTCCTTCCTTAATACTAAACCTACAAATATATGTACATAGGCTTATTTCCCCATCGTCATATATAAATACATTTGCATATGTACATGACTGTATTTAGACCTCTATAAATGCCCTTTGACTCCTAGTTCTTTCCTCTATTTCCTTTTGTCCCACTATCATGTTCGGCCTTCATTCAGGTTTCAGTAATTCCTCTCAGTTACATTGCCCTTGATCAAGCCCTACCAGGCTTCCTACACCATCTTTGCCATCGATTTTAGATCACTTGTTCCCTTGTTCCTGGGTTTGTTAACACCCACCTCCCCTATCAGTTCAGTTGTTTTCTCCTCGATTGTTTATCCAGTTTATCTTATCTAGATAGACCTGCAGAGATAATGATATGCACAAAAAACTAGACTGAGCAAAACAAAGCAACAAAAGAAAACAAAACAACAACAAAAATGATGACAACAGAAAAGTGGGTGAAGGGAGCTATCATACAGTGTAAGGCATGAAAAAATAATAATTTATAAATTATCACGGGTTCTTGAGGGAGGATGGGGGAGGGTGGGGGAAAAGGAGGAGCTGATACCAAGGACTCCAGGAGAAGAAAATGTTTTGAGAATGAAGATGGCAACAAATGCACAAATGTGCTTGGCACAATGGATGGATGCGTGAATTGTGATGAACTGCACGAGTCCCCAATAAAAATGATTTTTTTAAAAAACGGCGTTGGGAAATCTTACCCCATCCATCGATCCATCCTACAACTGCCCTGAAGTTTGCCCCTTCAGATTGCTTTTCATTCCCCAAACTTAAAGAACGTGGCTTGAATCCCTGGCAAATGCCCCAGTCGTTTGAACAGACGTAAATGGAAAGTGTTGCAGGCTTCGGGGACGGTGAGAGAGGGAAGGCTGCCTCCAGATGTGTTTAGACCTAAGTGGACATTATGTTCAGAAATAAGAGGTGTGTGCATTGCTATTTTTCCTTATAAACATTTTAATGATTTTATGGCAATAATTTTTCACTTACTCTCATGATACCAAGGACCAGAAAATTGTGAGGGCACTATATATAGTTAGACTCTGCTGGAGTTGCCCTAACCGACAATGAATGTCAAATTACTGAGCATTCTTACTACAAAGCAATACTTAATTAAAATAAACCTACAAGTACTCATCAGATGTTATGTCACCTCTGTGAAGAAACGTTACAGGACTCCCAGGAATAAAACTGAAAGGATCAAGCATACATATTCTGTTGAGCCTCATAGATGTGAGGAAATAAGAAATGGTTTCTGTCACAATTAACTTTAGGGTGGAGGCAGAATAGAGAAATGGAAATGATCATTTCTGAAATATCTAAGATCAGCTATTAAGACAACCAAATGTGTACCCACACCCACTCTGTTTGGCAAGTTCTCTTGAAACAGCACATAAATTAACAGCCAAAGAGCACGGGCAGATCCCTGTAAAAGAACATGCAATTACAACTATCACTTTAAAACAGGCTTTTGAACTGGTTCTTCCGGGTTCAGCTGTGGCAAGGAAGCAAAACTAGAACAGATCCATTTTTTTTTAAATTGGGGTGAATGGGATCAATAACCAGATGGGAAAATTACAGGTTGAAGTCCTGGTAGAAATGTAATCTCTCTTAAAAAGCACCAACAACAACAACAACAACATTACACAAACAACAACAACAAAACAAGAGCAGCATGTCTGTTGCATAGAAATTACATTTTTTTGTCCACAGGATTTGAGCAAAGGACCCTGATCAAAGGTGATTGTGCCGCTTTGAATGTGTGGCCCCACAATCCCGCCAATAATCCAATCTTATTCCCCAAGGACTCACTCAGTACTCAAACTCACGACCATCGACTTGCTGCTGATTCACAGATCCAACCTGCCCGTCAGCTTCCAAGAGTGTGAGTTCTCACAGGAGTTGACAGCCCCGCAGAGCGAGGCTGGTGGTTTCAAACTAGCAATCCAATAAGCAACCACCAGTACATACTGAATCGTTTCAAAACGTGAAACAGGACCATACACTTGTATTCGTCATACTTTTATATACCTGAATTATTTCATAACCAAAAAACAACAAAAAGAAAAATAACCCATGAGCAAGAGCTCCTCACTAAAGGTGCTTCCATCACAAACTTAACTCACTAAAAATGCCTTTTATAATTTACCTGGCCTAATTTAAAACAAGTCTCCACGTACTACCTGCCATAAAACTGGTTCACCTAAATTATACCAATAAGGCAGAATTCCCACAGGTCTTGCACAATTATCATCTCATTAATCTTTCTAAAGCCTAAAGTATTCACCCAGTTTATAAATGAAGACACTGAAGTACAACACAGCACTATCTCTAATCACATCGCAACACGAGAGAAACACTCTTCTTTCAAAAGCATTTGCACACTCACACTTTACTAATGGTTTCAAATAAATCTTATCCTGCAATAAAGTAGAATTACTTTATGTTTTAAGCAAAATGAAGGATAAATTCTGTTTTTGTGTTTCAGTTAGTTCAGAATTAGGGCACTTTAATTCCCTATTGCTTCAATAAAGGTGTTTCTTTTTTTTTTAAGTTAGAAGTTTTATTTTAAAAGATCACCTTAATTTTCTTTTGTAATAAATTCATCAGATATCCACTCACTTAGATTCATTTATCCTTTAACAGGTAAAGCATTAAACAATGACAATCTTTACCCTCAACCCTAAATCATGTTACACTCATTATATTTCAAATGGTTTTGCTTTCTCATGGAGAAAAAAAGAGCCCAGGCATAAACCGTTGATACTTCCTGTTTGCTAGTCCTGTGATACTTTTAATATGAAACTGTTCCTGATACTTGGACCATTTCTATGATGGGCAGAGAGAGCTCAGTAAGTGACGATCATGTGGCTAGTCTTGACGGTCAAAAGCGGTGATCTTTCATCCACTGTGCAATCCATTTTAACATCTGGTTTACATTACTCTCCAGATCTTCCGGTTGGTTGCTAGATAGCTGACGTACTATTTCTTCCTTGTAGGAGGCCAGGGCTTCCTCACAGAGAACTTGGAAAATCTCACACTGAATAGTCTCTTGCAGTTTCTTCTCATTATAACCCCTTGTTTCAAGCCTTTTGTACAATACACTGCTATCTGTTCTCAGCACAAAAACGACATGAAACCAGCGT